CTGAAATGTGGCAATCATGTTTTCCTCAGTGAGTAAAAGCAGGTGACCAGTAACAATGCAACTAGCACAGAACCAAGAACTGATTTTTATTTAAATCCCTCAAGGTATTTAAACTGTAATTGCTGACATACAATGAGCAATTTGCAATGTAAATGCTTTAAACAACTGAAATACCTTCCAAACTTCATGTAGAAAGCATTTTTAGAAAGGTTCTGGAAGGGGGGGATAATGAAGGTTGAGGGCCCTCATCCTATACTCATCTGCCCACCCTCTTCCAAAAATGTACTACCAGACCACAGGCACTATTAAACAGACGTACACCTAGAATGCAAAAGTCCCTCCTCAGACATTTCACACTATCACACCATTCTGTCCATCATGTGACCAAAATCACCCACTGTCCCAGACTGTACCATCTATTTTTCTGTCATCTGACAACTATTCTGCCCATCTTGAAATCTGGCCGCACCCACCCCCCATCATAAACTTCTAATAACTTTCAAACCTTCAATACACTATTATCATGCTTTCATGATATCACAGCATTCACCTTTTCCACCTTTGTTCCTTGAGCTTTCTCCCAATATTATTACCACTCATCCACCGCATTACTAATATTTTCACTATTCATGTGCCCTAATATCACGAGACCATGCTCACTAACCCCGGATTTTCCACCAGCATTTCCGTGTTGCTAACACAACATTCCCAGTATTCCCATAGCCAAAACACCAAGCCCAACCTCAGATCTAACAGCTTTTCTAGTACACACAGACCCAACATTCCTCTATGTGCCTTTTGCCCCTACCAGCCACCATGGCCCACACTGCCACAGTGTTTACACATACAGAGACTATTTTCCCACTATGACCAACCATATCATCTATCCCACTGTCCATCTTGTCACATACCTCCAACAAACACCTCCCCCACCTCCTTCGTGTAAATATTACACTTGGGGGAGAAAAAAGATAGAACATAAAATTGTGTATAACATACAGATAAATAAACATTACAGTCAAGGCCACTGATTTACAATTTCCATGAAATTGAGGGCATATCGCAAAACAAATATAAAAATGGCAATTAACAACCTCACATATATACTTCATAAAACATCAGCTTTATTTATTCCTTCAACGAACAAACAATTACCCTGATGTTATCCATTACAGTACATAAAACATTCCTTCCAATTGACTTTGCATAAGATAAGAATAATTTGTTTTTTTAACAATACAATTTATATCATAAACCTGCAAGGTATCTACATTGTTACCATAAGAACTGTGAGACAGTGAAACACACATAAGCTGTCCAGGATTCTGCACACAAACTGTTCAGGGCCAAATAAAGAAATTTCTTCATTGACCACTGACTGAAACAACTTAAGAATTCCTTATCCTGTAATTTCTCTAATTGTGTTTAATAGACTCAAAACTATTCATTTGTATTTGGCATTTTTTCCAATAATTCAATCAGTTATGAACACCCACAGAAGATTATTAGATGTATAGCCTCCCAAGTGCTATGTGTCATCCGCAAACATCAGCTATGGTGATTTTTCTCAGTCTGTTCCTTTCAGAGAAGGTACTTAGGCCTTCAGGTGAGTAGGTTTGCAATAATTTCCTGTCAACGACTTTCAAAGACTCAATACCTGCTGCTTCTAATAGCTAAAGATATATGATTAGACTTCTAGGTATCGTAGCTACTGTTTGTTCACTGAATGACAGTTTTAGTACTTTTTAAGGTTTTAGCGAGCAAGTCAACAACTTCAGTTTTAATGGTGGGCTTACACTGGGTTTAGCATGAAGGAAATTTTGGGATTAAATCTTGTTTCTTTATATGACCATCAGATCTTCCGTCATCATGTTTTATATTATCAATACTAGACATCTGAATCCTGGAAAAATAATGTTTCAACTTACCCATTAACCATACCTGTAATTGCCAGATTAAATTTACTTATGACCAGAATTATTGCAACATGGATTGGTTCCCCTTGCTGTTGCCCAGAGTTAACTGGACTTCAAATATTCTGCAGATTTAACACATTCTATGTTCCTTTGCATGAGCTTCCAAACCCTGGCCATCTCTTCCTGATGTTCTTGTGGCATACTTTTACAAGTCTGTCACTCATGGCAGTCCTCTTAAGGAATTTAAACACACAAAGTAGGATGGGGTATGTCTTTGTGATATTCTTCATTGGCAACAGTCAAATTCTCATAATGCCAATAGTTCTTTCCTATTCATCTTATTAGTGCCTTGTCCTGCACTTTTTATAAACAGACCATTTTCCACTTGGATTGCATAAGGCCTTAATTGTAGGAGATGTGGTGATTCAGTAAATCTGGATCTGTTCATCTTAAAAATACTTGCTTCTTCTCAGCATCCTTTTTTTAAAGCACTTGCTGCAGAAACTGGATGGTAGAGTGAGTTACACATGATCATCTGTGGTGTTTACAAATCCCGCATAATCTAATGAAAGGCCCTTCCACCCACAAACATTAAGGTTGTCTGCAGCACAAAACTGTCTAATTTGGTGTGTTAGAGATAACAAGGTGTAGAGCTGGATGAACACAGCAGGCCAAGTAGGATCAGAGGAACAGGAAGGCTGACGTTTCGGGCCTAGACCCTTCTCCAGAAATTTGGTGTGTTAGTACTTTGAGTCATCGCGTAAGACACCAAGGGAGCAAATGCATGTTGTGGGCCAAATATTAAATTCCACTTTTATAAAAATTTTCATGGCCTGGGATGGGCAATGAATAAAACAAATTTTTAAACATTACTACATGAATGCAATAATCTGTTTTGCTATGTGAAGTAGTATTTGTGATAGTGTCAATTTTTATATTGTCATTTACATGATGCAGAAAAAATATTTTGGTATGGCATAAACTGTAGGCAAATTTGTGTTCAGCTTTGCATTATCTATGATTAGCCCTAATAGACAAGATGATAAATGATAATGCCTCACAACCACAAAAAACAACTATATACTAAAAGTATAACATTCCTTAGACTATTTGTGGTTTTATATTATGCATCCCTGGGATTTAATCACATTATACATTAGAGTTTGGGCATTTTCACATTGAGAGCAACATCAACTAACTCCTTTCTCCCCTAAACATTAGTCCTGAAAAACATTTTCAACTGCCTGATGGTCTACAGAAAGTATATAGTTATATTCATTGTATTGTATCATCCTCTCTTTGTCTCAGATCCTCATTGCCAACTTATTCACTTACCAACCTGTTGTAGTCAATCTTGTAATACACCTAATTAATTGCTTTTTGACGTATATGGGAGGATTATCCATTTTTCTGCATAGTTAAACTGCTTTTGACAGAAGACACCTCCAGTGTGCAACACCTGAGCACAGGAAATATCATTAAAGCTCAACTTTTCAAAGACGTAAAAATAGTTATGATTAATGAACGTTTGCACGATTGTATAAATTTCGACTGTGGTCTCTCAATTTGATTATCGTTTCTATTCCAAATACAGTACTTGACCATGTAATAGTTTATACTTTCTTGCGTACAGTATGTCATTTGTACTGCACAGCAGTGTCCCAAAAATGGCAGGAAAGACTGAAGCTTTACCGCTGATGAAAGCAAACTTGAAAGACTGGAACAAAATCATATGGAGAGCTGACAATGAACCTACTCTCCTTGGTTTATATAGAGACCGTGAGCTTGTTTCTGAATGTAAGAAATTATCTGGATCTCTAGATTAAATTATCCAGTAACTCCCTCTCGTTTGCTAAGTACTGGAACATTGCCAAAGAAAGTGCATAGAAAACTAGGTCGAGTATGTAAGGGAAATCGAATGCAGTAGTACTTTGGAATACAATTATATTTAAACAGTCATTTGGAAAGAGGGCTATAGCTGGCAGGTTTTTATGGACGCAGAGCTTGTACTCCTTGATCGAGATGTCACCAGGCCTGCGAAGCCCACCGCTCTCTTCGTCCAATCGCCCGCCAAAGGCGCTGCGAGACCGGGAACCCACACAAAGCAGAGTAACGTGGTCTTAAGTTGAATTGTTGGGTTCAAATGAGGCCTGTTTCAGGACTTCAGCTCCACCATTTTGTTTTGCGGCCGGTCTCTGTGCGGTATTTTTGTATTTTTTTTTTGAAATTCAGATACTTTAGGGCCAAGTGATCGCTTCGCCCCTCAGGGACAGCTCCTCCCACACACCCCCAAAATGATCAGTGCCCGCCAGCCGACGTGACAGAAGGGCTACGCAATGCAGCGACCGATATCTAAAAAGTCTCCCTTTATAGCCTTGTTTTTGTTTTGGGGAGGGGAAGAATAATAAAACTGATCTCTCATTCAGAGGCTAACCGTCGGAAACATGGAGCCCCAACAAACACATCACTCCATTCACGGCTGGTACGAGACTGTTTGGGTCAATTTATTTTTCAGCGAGGGGTATTATAATAATATGTTTAAAATAAAATTCATCATAGAAATTAAATGAGCAGAATTAGTGCGAAGAAATTAATAATATAAATAGTAATTGCCAATGTTTCAAATACAATACATCATTAACACAGGAATTTACATTTTGACTTCTATTCATTATATCAATCCCCCTCGAGGTTAAAATTGGTAGAGTCGCCCCTGTATCCAGCGGAAGGATATTTCCCCCTGGTTCAAACACAGAAGCGTTGGAGAAGCAGTCCCGGGCACGCGACTATAATGGACGACAGCAGGAGCCAATGGCGTGCCCGTCCCGGGCGATGGAACCAATAAGCATGGAGTGAAGGTGGGCTTTAGACTGTCGAGCGCAACGCGTCCATCGGGCGGTTTCCCCTCCGCCCAACCGCCGTCAGTGGTTTGTGGGGGTTGTAGTTCATGGCTGGGCGGTCGGCGTTGCGGCTGCGGAGGCGCTGAACTACAAATCCCGTGAGCGGTGGCGAGGAGGAGACATGCGCAGTGAGATGTCCTGATGTATATATAAAGGCCGCCTCGGGGGGCGAGCAGCAGCAGTTGAGTTGAGTGTAGTCGTTGTTGGTAGCGTGTAGAGTGAGGCCGCCCCCCTTCCACAGGAGCGGAGTCTCCGATTAGAGACTCCATTTTAGGGAGGACGGGAGCCAAAAAAGAGAAAGTAAAATTCACACTCGGTCCGGTGGGTCAGGAGGGACTGATGATGTCGGAGGGATCGGGCGACTTGTTGGGGGAGCGGAGTCAGGCGGAGGGCGGGCGGGCGCCTCCGTCTCCGAGCGTCGCCCGGGCTGGTCGGGACGGCAGAGGGCGAGCGCCGCCGAAGCCGAGCGACGCCGCCGAGGCTAAGGCGCCCGCACCGGGAGGCGGGGTCGGGGGCGGAGCGGGAGGAGGCGCTCTCGCCGGAGGCAAGAAGAGGCACCGGCGTCGCCCGTCCAAGAAGAAGCGGCGCTGGAAGCCGTACTTCAAGCTGTCGTGGGAGGAGAAGAAGAAGCTGGACGAGAGGGAGAGCGTGCGGGCGGCCAAGACCCGCGCCGAGATGTTCGCCAAGGGCTTCACGGTGGCCCCTTACAACACCACCCAGTTCCTGATGGAGGAACACAACCAGGAGGAGCCCGACCTGAACCCGGGGGGAGGTGCCGGTGCTGGTGGTGCTGCTGGAGGAGGGGGACCCCCCCGGCGGGCCGCCAAGTCTGACGAGACCAGCGAGGAGGACGAGCTGCTGCTGCTGGACGAGGAGGAGCAGCAGGACAGCGGCAGCGACGGCATGGGGGGCGACGGCGGCGGCGAGTTCCTGCAGAGGGACTTCTCCGAGACCTACGAGAAGTACCACGCCGAGAGCCTGCAGAACATGACCAAGCAGGAGCTGATCCGCGAGTACCTGGAGCTGGAGAAGTGCCTGTCCCGCCTGGAGGACGAGAACAACCGGCTGAGGGGCCGCCTGGACGGCAGCAAGGCGGCGGTGATCGCCCGGGGAGGGGAGCTGGAGGACAGCAACAAACTGAAAGAACTGGAACGGGAGATGGAGAGGCTGAGGGCCGAAAACCTCCAGCTCCTGAAAGAGAATGAACTGTACAAACGGGGGCAGAAACTGTCAGAAAGTGTTGATTGAAATATGAACTCTGCTGTATGTATATCTGTGTATAAATCTGTAAATATTTTTAGTCTGTACAGAGTCTAGATTTTTCTCTTGGCGTTGTTTTCTTTTGAACTTTCTGTTGTTTCAAATTTACAATCTTAATTATTTTGGGTTGGGATGCACTTTGTTTTTTCTCTTTGCATTTTTAAACCTCTGCAAAGGCAGAGATATTAATGTTGACTTGTGTTTTATACAAGTGATTCCCCAACCATCTTATCTCTTCTGCACACTTATTGATAAACTTGAACCAACCAAAACTATCAAGTACAGTATTGAGTACAATGTTTTTAGCATTAGGTTTAACTATTTTGATGGGGATGCTATTGCCTTATTTTTAATTCATATTAAGTCAGCTATCAGCTAACTGAAATTTTGCCAAATGATTTACCTGTGGTACAAAATCCTGCACTGCCTCAGCTCTGGAGAAAACCTTTTTCTGAGTCCTCTAACAGTGGGTCTTTTTGTGGTTATTCTGCAGTTTGCTGCTTTCTAGGCTGTTGATCCCTGTTGCTAGTCAGGTATAAGTCCTCTTCCTTTTTTTAAAAAAAATATTAATCTAGATAATGTCAAATCATTATGTAGTGTTTGACAATACCATTGGTTTGTCAACCCAACTAGTTAGGCAAAACAGATGTGTGCATTTCCCACCAGATTAGTTTGAAACCAACCTTTGCTTTTAATAGGATTTTCTGTACAGTCACCTCCTATGTTTCCATGATCCCATGTTCTGCATCTTATTGAATACATTAAAATAGTCCATGAAAGAAACTGGCCAATAAATTACAGTATGTAGTTTTAGTTTAAAATTCTGTTAATTGAAAAATGATGGTAACACTTTTTAAGGAAAAAAAACCTGAATAGTTCCCCAAGAATATACTTGGAAACCAGAATCAAGATTATTGGGGTTAAATTTGTAAAATGTACCTTTTCAATGGATATATATACAATTTAAAGAATAAAAATGAATGTCTTTAAAGAGAAGAGTATCTTGTACCTTGGCTATTAAAGTCACAAATAAACTTGGTATTCCCGTCAAAGTGGTGCTCACATCATGGCTTATAATTTTGGATAACCTGAGACTTTCCAACTATATTTAATCATAAAGTCTCAAATTCTTAAAGACTCCTGAGTACAACTGGTCCAGCTTCAGAAATGATCTTGGCCTAGAATGGGCTGTAATTTCATAAGAGGAAGAAATTTTATCTGCCTGAAAATTGTGTGGAAAACAACATTGGTCAAACATCAAGGGATGCAACAATGGATATGAGTTGGAGATGTTCATGTATAGTTACATAGTTTAAAATCAACCTTCTGTTTTTAAAAAATCCTTCTGAATGGAATTGGAAAATGATTTTAGTTTTGTTATTTTTGCCCGTCGTAGCACCAACAAGTGAGTTCCTCAAAACTGAACTGCTCATAACCAGATTGGCTGACCTGTTTCACTGGCCAAGAGTGAACTAGACAGTCATGAGATCAAACTCTGCAATAAATTCAATTTTTCCTTCAGTATATTGTACGGAAGGTAACTTGTCTGAAATGATTAGGTTTGAGATTGAATCCGCATCGTGACAAGGGATATATGCAGTGGTAATGGGGTGAGAAAGACCCTTTTTATGATCCAGGGAGACTTTGATAAATGTGGTTGGTAATGTTTCCTTTTTAATAAAGGAATGAAATCATGTTCAGCTTTTGCAAAGTCTCCTAATTTGGGCTGTCTGTTTAAAAAAAAAACATTTTCCCATAATTTGCTTAACATGTTTACCTCTATTTATAAAGGAAGTAAGACACTTTTTCAAAAGCACGATTGCTAATCGATATTGTTTGCATTCAACAAACACAATCTAAGAATTGGATGGGTTGTCTTATGAGGAAATGTCAGACAGAGTGGGTTACTGTCTGCTGGATTTTAGAGTCAAAGGTGACTTAGTTGAAATATACAAGATCCTGAGAGATCTTGAAAGGATGGATGTTGAAAAGAGTTTACTGTTGTGTGGGAGAATGTGGAACTAGGAATCGGATCACTTCAAAAATAAGAGATCACCCCATTTAAAATGTTTTTTTTCTCCCCCAAAGTCATCAAGTCTTTGTAATTCCCTCCTTCAAGAAGTGATGAAAGAACACTCTAAATACTTTTAAGGCAGAGTAAGTAGATTGTAGATAAGCCACAGGGTGAAAGGTTGCTGGTATTGTCAGGAATGTGGAGTAATTGGTCAGCAATGATCTAATTGAAAGGCAGAGAAGGCTGCAGGGGCCAAGTGAACCGCTATTAATTCATGTGTGTGTTGGTCTTGCTGTGTCCTGATTTAGCTAGCTTCTAGTTATCTAATATTGTGACCTATTCAATGTAGTAATTGAGCTATGTCTCAACTCACGCCTAAAATGAATAATTATGCTGAGATTATGTGCATCTGACTGCTATTCTGTCAAAACCATAGGATGAAATGTTGACAATGGAACGAGAGACTTCAATATTCTCTTTAGTTGCTAGGGACTTTTATTTAGAAATTTGCTAATTATGAGGAATCCAGTGAAGAGCCACGCAGAATGAAATGGCTGGGAGAATGACAAGATGGAAATGTCAAGTGCTCAGTGTGTTTCAAAGGTGGCTACACAAAAAGGTGGAAAGCACCCAATTACATCTTTTCCCCTGCCCTGTCATTGTTGCTCTAATTGTCCCTAATCTCTCAGTTTAAAACACCAAAAATTTAGGTTAATAGCAATAAAGGATGCAAGGGCACTGAAAACTCCTGTTCAATTCTATAAAACACATGGTCTTAATAGAGGTGAACTATTGCAGATGCTGGAAATCTGAAGTGGAATGCTGGTGAATCAGTAGGTCAGGCAGCATTTATGGAGATAGAAACCAATTTAATGAATCAAGTCTGGTCCAAATCATTACCAGGACTTTTCTGAAGCAGCGTCATACCAGTCTCGAAACGTCAGTCTTTTTCTGTCTTTCCATAGATGCTGCCATAGGTACTGGGTTTCTCCAGCTTTCTGTTTATGATTTCATTATTAAAAGTGAATGGTGAAAATTTTCTTCTAAGGTTGCAGTGCTAGGACATCAGGTTTTGAAAGCTTCAAGCATGGATATCAAGGAATTTGAGCAAACATTTGGTGGAATGTGAAATCTTCATGGGTATTTTTTATTATATTAACCAACAATTAGCACAGAACTGCTTAGAGACATTTTGATAGAATAAGTTGCACAATTAGCAGAAAACTTGATCTTAAAAGAAAGGGTTGTTTAAATGATTCCTGATTCCCACTTATAAGGTGAAGACGTTCAGAGTTTAGAAACTCAATATATGAAAAATGTTGGTAATTGACAATGTGGTTCTTCCATCTTTTATAGATACATCCAATCTGTCGGACATTCTAACTTAAGGTAGGAAATGGTTTTATTAAATTATAGTTTTAAAAGCTAAGTGACAAACCGAAATGTGGAACTTTTTTTTACCAAGAGAGGAAAAAGAAAATCTTCACTTTTGCTTCAACTTTTAAATGTTTTTGGTAACTCAAAGCCATACTCCAAACTGAACTTGTTCTAGAGATTGGGCCTGAGAAGCAGAAGACTCCGCTCCAAATTGAGGAGCTGTACCCGAGAAGCACAGGATGCTAATTGATCCAAATTGCACAAGCTAGAATGTAGAGCTGGAGAGAATGCTATGACAGCAAGGAAGGGGCTTGCAAGCAAGAACTTGCACAAGAAGTTGTAATTTAATGTTGGAAGAGCGAAAGAAGAAAACTTTGTCATGCTCTAGAAAGTACTGTGTGAATGTGGGATAACAAGCAATCGCTGGTCATGTGGTAACCCTTGGAAAAGAGATTTCTTCAAGCAGAGCTTTTAATTATCCTTACGTTGAAAAGCATATCTCTGAGAGACTTGTTTACTCTGTCGCCAAGGAACATGGACACTGGATGCAAGAAAGTTATTGGACAGAGGATTGCAGCAGAGATGGGATTTTCCAGAGGAGGAGTTTTCGCGAGGAAATGAGCATTGCAAGGTTTGGTTGGGGAGTGGTAAGGTTGAAATTGTATAACATCTTTATGGGGGAATGCGTGACCCACCTGTGCAAACTGTCCTTGACTGAGATGACATGGGGTGGGGGCATATATACCAGAGGCAGCTGATAAATTTGTATATTAAATGAGATATGAACAGTATAATTGATTTGTATATTTTTTGAATAATAACACATGCCATAAACAATTGTCAGCTGTCAGAGATTACATTCTTTTTTCAAGACAAGCAATCATGATAGAGTACTCCATATTTTACCATACTGGTTGTAATATGGCCTATCCCTTTAAAATGACACCCTAATTCTTCTAACTGCCTGAAGTCAGAGGCTAATTTCCTTGCAGGCAACTTAGTTACTGAGGAAGTTGGTCTTGGATGGAAATGATTGGCTTTTTTTAACATCCTACTTTGTGACGCAAGTTTTCATCCGTGTGTCTTTTATATAAGTGCACACTGACTGAAAGCTCATGGGGATTGGTTCAGAAGTCCATCCATAAAAACAGTTTAAAACTGAGGAACAAGTGTTTTTAGGAGCGTTAATTTGCAGCTGAGAACATCATGATGGAGTGCTTGTTATTGCAAGATAAAATAATGACGAGGAAAATCATGATGGAGAGTGATTTTAGGGACTACAAAATCAGCCGTCAGATGTAAAGGAATTTGGATATCTCCATGAATCTGAGGGAGTATTACTTCACAGGCTGGAGTGTTTTGTTTTCAAAGTGTTCTTGTATGTGGGTGAAGCTCATCAGGGTGGTTTTATTCAGAACAAGAGTGCACAGATTCTGTGTTATGACTGATATGTTTTTGTTAGGAGACAGGAAATATCTGTTTCCAGAAAGCATGCTAAACTACTGGCTACTATAATGGAGAACTCTGGAAGGTGAGATTGGAATGATTTGAACAGATGTCTCTAATGCATATCTTAGTCAAACGACCTTTTCTCTAACTGTTACTTTTCATTCTTCCCTTACACAGCCAAGTCAATCATTCATATCATTTTTAAACTTTGTCTTTTTATCCATAGTCACACTCGCAGTGGAGGAAAAACCAATCAGAATGTGTCTTTGTACAGTGCATTTTTTATGCAGACCTACATGCAACCTCATGCACCTCCCAGAATACAAACCTCAATGAAACAACTGGATACAGTCTAATCAATGTTTAATGCATGTAAACGTATGAATCAAGAACCAAACTGAGTAGCATACCAACAAGATGGGAACAGCTATCCCAGATAACAAGGCGTAGAGCTGGATGAACACAGCAGGCCAGGCAGCATCAGAGGAGCAGGCAAGCTGACGTTTCAGGTCTGAATCCTTTTTCAGAACCCCAGACCCGAAACGTCAGCTTTCCAGCTCTTCTGATGCTGCCTGGCCTGCTGTGGTCATCCAGCTCTACATCTTGTTATCTCAGATTCCAACATCAGTTCCTACTATATCTAACAGTTATCCCAACCTGCTTTCTAAACCTTGATCTATTATTGGCTTTCTAATGCAATATATTACTAGCTCTCCCATTTTGTACTGTTACCTTGTATCCTACTCCTCCATCTTGTGCGCTGCTCTTCCAAGGGCCACACGCAAGATGAAGGAGCAAATGATTTCTCCTAACAGACAAAGACATGATTGGAAATCCCTGGTGGTTAATGTTCGTCATTTTGTAGTGTTCTTTTAATGGGTGCGGTGCAACTTGAAATGTTAAACACACATGCTGGCATCTTTCAGAAAGCACATGGGTTTAACATTTCTAATTTCTGGCAGAAAAAGTCTCATACACTTCATTTCATTTAATCCATAATGTTTCCCTAGGTTGCAGTAAATAGCGCTTTAGGAATTCACTTCAATTGATGGAAATCTGGTATTTGGCTCTCCATTAAAACAATTATGAGGAAAATGAGTTATTGTATTTAATCCATTTTCAATTTCACAACAAATTAAATTTGACTTGTCAACCC